GCTAACGCCAGTTCTGCACAAAGTGTCTTACATTAAAAAGTCTGCAGGCACAGGCTATAGACACCAGAACCACTACATTAAGCTGTAGTGCTTCTGGTGACTACATTGGCTCTTTAAAATGATGTCAATTAGAGATTAGTGACACTAAAAATATATTGGATTACCTACTTACCACCAGATGAGGACAAGAGGATGATGATGATGGGCTCAGGCTGGCTCCACAGGTCTGGTGTAAAAGAGGCTCTCTGGAGACTAACAGTGCTCACAACAATTAACGAACAGGAAGCAGCTCCATTTTTTTAGGCCCCTTACACAGCTCAAGGTCTTGGCCAGCAGGGCCTGACCGTGAGTATGCCTACAAGGCCCACCCATGAGTTCACAGGAAGTGGAGTGTATGTGTATAGGGGATGTGTTATTGTAGAGGATGTAATGTGTGTGTGTGTTCTTATGGAATGTAGTGTATAGGGATACCAATTTGTGTAAGGGATGTAGTGTGTTTGTGTGTGAGGAATGCATTGTATGTTTCTGGGTGTGTAAGGGATGCAAGGTGTGTTTCTGTGTATGTAATTTAATGCAGTGTGTCTGTAAGAGGTGCATTTTGTTTCTGTGTGTAAGAGAATCAGTGTGTGCGTGCGCATAAGGGATGCATTGTGTGTTTCGGTGTGTGTGTGCGCGAGGGGATGCATTGTGTATGTGTGTAGTGTAAAATAGAGGGTTTGTGGAGTAGGATAGGGACTGAGAGGGGAGCAGCTCTTTATTTATTTTTTTCAATAGTGCTCTGTGAGTGAGTTGATACTTGGAATCGCTGAAGAATGAGGAGCAGAGAGGTAAATCACTCTTAATTGGTAAAAATACTCATTGCAATTCCCATGTGGTTAGTGAGCCAACTAGAAAAAAGGGTACGAGAGGAAGGGCCAGCATGAAGCAGTTATGTAGTTCTGTTTGAATTAGCTTATCTACTGTGAGAGAGTCATGCGTAGTTGACAGAAGATTGTGGCATTCGAGGGAAGCTGACGATAGGGAGATAATGAAATCCTTGTTAAAAGCCAGTGATGGGGACAAAGGCTGATCTTTTAAGTGAAAAGCTAGATTATCAATATTAATTTATTATTTTATGAGTCACTGCTTCGGGAACAAATGGTTTGAGTAGATGGACCTGGCTTGTACCCTGAAACATAATGAGCAGATGTCCAACAAACTACAAGCACTAAAGCCACAACTGCCCGCATTAAAGTTGTTTCATACATGAGCCTTCGAAAGGAACACTATAGGCCTTCCTAGTTTATACTTTAGTCCTTTCTGTTCTCACCTAGTAGCCTAGTGAAAGCCAAACTCCTAGTTGATGATTCAGTCTCATTGGTGCACAAATTGGTGGAGTGGGAAATCGAAGCAAAAAAAAGCACACAAGGTTTTAATCGTATGTAAAACCGCCATATTTGTGCCCAAATCCACCATTTTTTGCAAATATAAATTCATTTACTCCCTGTAGTATGGGTGCAAGGAACAAATGACATCTCTATAGAGTAAAAAAATCCAGTACAAATTCCAGAATGGACACATTTTTATTTCACCTTGGGTCTCTGGCCTTGACAACAACAACAGAATTTTCCCCATAACAGACGAACTTGTTCTCTATTAGGTCATGGACATCATTGAATGCATCTCCATTAGATTGTAAGAGTAGTTGCATTAAGAGCTACAGCCAGATCTCAGGATATCAGGATGAGCGGACAACAATCGGTAGAGTTCAGCTTTCCTGGCCGTGGTTTGGAATAATATACCCCCGCTTCTCAGTGCTGCCAAGATTTTGTGGATAGTGCACGACCCTATAGAATCATGCCGGGTCTTGAACTCTGCGGGGGAACAAGGTCTGATGTGAGTTCCAGTGAGAGAGACAACTCTTCTATAGGATCGGAAAACGGAGACATACTAAAGTGAAGAAAGACAAGTAATTATGGTAGCTGACATTAAATCCCCAGGTTAGATGGATAGAACTGGCTTGCTAGCCAAGTGCAGTAATTTTTTTTTTTTGGGGGGGAGGGAGGTGACTAGGGGTTTGGGGACCCCTAGTCACCTGGGGGGGGTAACTTTTTTTAGGGCACCCACCGCTCAGGGGTGGGAGGACAATAGGTCCCCTCCCCTATTGGTATTTAGGGCCCCCACCCTCTGCTCAGGGGTGGGGGCAGGACATTAGGTCCCCCCCTTATTAGTATTTAGGACCCCCACCCGCCACTTAGGGGTGGAGGCCCGGGGAGGACAATAGGTCCCCCCTTATTAGTATTTAGGGACCCCACCCACCGGGCCAGGGGGGAGGACCTTAGGTCCCCCCCTTATTAGTATTTAGGGCCCCCACCCACCGCTCAGGGGTGGGGGCCAGGGGGAGGACATTAGGTCCCCCCCTTATTCCAATTTAGGGCCCCCACCCGCCGCTCAGGGGTGGGGGCCAGGGGGAGGACATTAGGTTCCCCCCTTATTTTACTGTAGGGCCCCCACCCGCCGCTCATGGGTGGGGGCAGGGGGGAGGACATTAGGTCCCCCCATTAGTATTTAGGGTCCCCACCCACCGCTCAGGGGTGGGGGTGGGAGGACAATAGGCCCCCCCCATCATTTCACTTTAGGGCCCCCACCCACCGCTCAGGGGTGGGGGCCGGGGGTAATACAGTGAACTGTTTAATAGACATGCCCCTACTCGCGGTATAGCGAGTAGGGGCAAAATTTACTAATACTAAGTAATTTTTACTTAGTATTAGTAAATTTGGCTGAAAGACCAATTTAGGTCTTTCAGCCTTTTGGTAGATAACTCCCTAATACCGTGGGAATTAGGGAGTTATCTACCAAGCGGCTGCAAGAGAAGTCCCGAAGTTGCCGAAGTGTTGAAGTGCCGAATTCCCGAATTGCGAAAGTCACGAATTTCGGAACGCCGAACCGAACCGAAAATTTCCCACATGCACATGCCCAGAAACAGTATAAATGAGGACCACCTAAGGATGTAAAATAGTAAGTAACTAGTATTAAAATCCATATTTCAGAAAATAGATTAAGTCACATACCCAAAATTTCTAGTAGATGATCCTAGAGGACAGGAAACATTTGATATTTACACTACAGCCTATGTAACAACTAGGTGATTACTAGGAAGTGACAAAAGGAGTACATTGCTTTTACAGAGAGCAAGTACAGAGATATAACCAAATCAGATGTATAAACTGACAACTCAGAGTGCAGCCTACAATCAATAAAGCAGGAACAAATATAATAGCGAGCAGCAACACAATATGTGTTAAAACAATTGGCGGTAAGTAAATGGCTTACAAAATAGTGATGAGTAAGAGTAGTAGCCTTAGTGAGGCTACCTAGAAATTGGGAATGTGAGGTATACTTTATAGACTGAAAAGCTAGCAGAATAGCAAAAGAATTAGGTGTACATGGATAAGAAAAGAAAATCTAAAACCACCTATGTAGAGTGATGATGTATGAAACAAGTCTAAAGAGTGCCGGGGTATGTAAACAATGAATGCAATAGGCCAAATGAGGGCTGAATGGAAATGCAGTAAAAAAAAAAAAAAAAAAACAACAAAGGTATGTGGCTGAAATGAGCACTGTAAATACCTGGTAGAAGACTTCTAGCAAAGTGTAACCATGAAATAAAACAATGAGGCCAAATGAGTGCTGGCAGAACTGTAAAAAACAAAAGGCCGAGGTGAACAAACCTGCAAACAGGTCGAATGGGGGCAAAACACTATTTTATTTTTTAATAAAAGTACATGATAGCCAACCTTTGGTAGGTCCCAAATATGCGTACACAGATCAAACTAGGTCTGGATACAAAATTCGTGGCCCAAGCAAAACTTGCCCCAATTGAAATAATGAAAGCATATAACTCAATGTAATAACATAACAGGCCACAAGGGGGCAAATCACAGGAGATACAAAGAGCGAGCAGACTGAAAGTAAGGCACCATGTAAAGTAAAAGGGTGAAAGAAGGTGAAATTCAATGCCAAGTGTCAATGCAGGTGATGGCCGCAATAGGGTCGAACATGAAGCCAAAGTATAATAATCATTTGGGGGTCGAATGTGCTGAACATATGCACAAATAAACAGTGTAGTGGCAGTAGCAGCCAAAAGAGGGACGCAGATAAGCCCTGTACAATACATGTGGTGGCTGCAAAACATTGTGGGACATATCTGAACCACCAGAAAGCATCAGCAGAAGATGGGATATTTATCATGGACCTCTACAAATGGCAGGAGAGGAGGTGAGCGCTGATAGCCAGAAGACCATAGCCACGGAAGGGTAACTCAACGAGGTGCTGTCTGTTGGGCAGGTAACAGGACAGTACTTTGGTCATAAAGTGAGTGAATTTCGAGCATGGGACCCAAAGTGGAACTGGAAACAGGGACACAGGATAAGTTAGCCTTTATAGATATTGCAGAAAAAAAAACTTTATTGCATACTCCTATAACTGTTGGACATGCTTTCCTGAGTTCTTTCTCAGGGTGCTAAATATAAGTGCTGTAGACAGAGGATTTCAATCTTCCCAGTCTTTTAATAAAATGGACTGGTGTGTCCATACTGGAGGCTGCTCCGATCCTGAGGGAGTGCCCAGAAAACGAAGAGGGCTTATATCCTAATCTAAGCAACAATGTTCTAATGTAAAATATGAACTTGGAAGTGGTAAGTGGGGGTCAGTGGAGTAGCAGCAAGGGAGAGTTAGCTAGGTGGCTGCTGCGTGTGGATAGAAATGAATCAAGTATTTTAACGAGGCACCAGGGGTGGTCTATTGGAAAGAGAAGGATTGCAGTAAGGTGGTGAGTTTTGGATGATTGTAATGAAAGGATGTAATAGTCGTCGTGCTTAACCAAATCGGCTATTTTAAGACTAGAATTAACATCGGATTGTCGGATCACAGTGAATTCTCTGGGTCTGAGGAAACCGTAGAAGGCTATGTAAATAGCTGCTTTGATACAGAGTTGGCCTGATATTGAAAGCGTTAGTGTC